ATATAAAAACAAACACTTCTCAGACTCGGAGAATCTCAACCACTGGGTCATGGCACCTGCCTCAAAGATTTGTGCAGTTCAAAAATTTCCTTAAAATAAATCCTGCATAAAAGCATATGAAAATCTTCATAATAAATACAACTATTGACCACTGATGGTGAATGAAAAAATATACTTTATAAATAGTGTGTAAAAACTATATACGTAAATGAATGAATACCTGGGGCATAGTAATCATAAATTTTGACTTCCAAGTGTCGAGATAAGTTTGCTACTGGGTGCCATCGATGTGCAGTGAATGAAACACAGGTTTCATAAGAATTCAGCTGAAAGGAAAGAGAAAGAAGGAATTTGTCTCTTTATTGCTATAACTTCCACCATAGCGACAATCCTTTTTTATAACCAAGATTATTTAAAGATATAAATCGGGTAATGAAGCTTGTCATCGAAACATTCAGGAGCTGGAAAGGCACAACCCAACTAATTCATTCTGAATTCAGCATTTATTGAACATTATTTTTCACACTGTCTTATTCATTTAGTCAACACTACATTAAATCTGCTGGTCCAGTTATCAAAAGCATATTGAAATTGATAAAAAAAAAGTCGGTATTTGTTTTTAATATACTGATAAAATATCGTTTTGCATCATTTTGTTTCTTTAGAGCTTTAACCTTTTAGACTGGCATTTTAAATATTTGCAAAGTTTTGGAAATATGTGAAAATATCTTTAGAAACTCTATTTTCTCTTAAATAATCCTTTTTCTTGACTTTGATGGCTACATACATATTGTTTCATTTTACAAGAAAAAATAAATAAAGTTGCTGGATGTTTTTATTCTTCCAAACCTTAAAAAAAAATGTCATAGAAAAAACAACAACATAAGTATGCTTACTTAAGAATATGCAAATTACATATTCAGAAGTTATTTTCTTTATCATCGTTTCTGTTGAATAATGGCCACTTACATAATCAAAGTAGAAATAAACCCTTCTATTCCTGTACTTTGCTTGTCGCAAATTCTTAATTTGACCAGACCTAACATAGTTATCAAGTTCTAGTTGGGGAATTGTATATCCTGTGGGGATATCCATTTCTAATACTGCTAAACCACTCGCATGACTTTCAGCAAGGTTGGTCCAACTACAGAAGATAATAATAATAATTATGTTCAAAGAAAGATGCACAAGTAATAAAACTTATAAAAAAACAACAACAATTAATGACTAAAAGTAATGTTAAACAAGTTTTCATTGTTTCTATCAACAGGAAAACGGTTGAAACAAAATTCATTTTAAATATTATTAGTCCACGTTAGCTTTACAGTGAACCCATTTTGATCATATACCTCACAAAAGGAAATTTCTTGAATAGGAAGGAATAGTGTTTTCTACATTTTCCTTGTCCATAGATGACCACAGATGGAGAATAAATAAGACAGAAGGCAACATTAGTGAAGGAACTTTTTTTTTTTCCTCCACATGAGTCAGCATCTGTTGATGCAAGCCCTACAACTCTTACCTAGTGTTCAACTCAATTTTCAAGTTATCTGTATTAACTTCAAACTCTGAATCCATGTTATGTAGTACTAGTGGTTACTGTTATAAGTACATAATATTCTGGTTTTACAAGAAACCCTTTTCTTAGTGGTGGAGGTTCAAGACATAAGGTAGAGGTGTAGGAGGCAAATTGAAAAGGGGGGGAGGTCAATATTTATGTGACCTAGTGAACTGAGAGAATGTGTTCCACCTACGCACCCATTATAGCCAGGGTACAAGTCTCACTTTACGTCCCCCAAATTAAATTGTATGCATTTTCCTGAGATTAATTTTTCTAATTTTGATGCATTTTTACTGCCATTGTAAGTAAAAAAAAATCTTCTAATTGACTTTAGTTTTTGACCAGAATGAAATATGAAACAAAAAGTATTTTTATGGTCTATCATATTGCCCCTTATTGTCATCCTTTCTTTCCATATCTTTAATTATTAATCTTATCTAAATTCTTTATATATACCGTAATGATGATAATATATTTCGAGATTATATGCTTGTATAAGTGTATACATATTCTAAATATTGTATATAATAAACTTTGCATTCCAAAAAAACTGCCATTAACGAGATGAAAAAAGATAGAAAATCAACTGTTTTGTGAAATTCCCTGCTCAATGGTAAAACACAGTGGGTCCCTGTTATATGTTGCATCGCTCTACGTTATTACACCAATTACTACCCATGTATCAAACAATGTTGCCTTGTTTTGTTACTAGAGTGATCCATCATCATCGACTACTTTTCCAGGTGTAATGTTTACCAACTACTACCAATATTACCAACTTGTTTCATTACAAGCGTGTTAAAACATTGTCGGACTACTTTACCAAGCATAGTGTTCACCAATTACTGTACAGTTTTGTACCACCAATATGTGTGTGAAGCAACGTTGCCGTGTTTCATTACTAGAGCGTGCCAATGTCGGACTAGTTTACTAGGCGGAGTGTGATACATCGATCTCTGGCCAAGATGGCGGATGATGTAAACACATTGTGTTTGCATGCCATTGTCTAAGCACATTGTTTTTTCTGCAGCAGAAAAGCCTTGTTTCCAAAGTGGTCACCTAGTGATAGTAAATTGTCCCTTGACAAGAAGCCCAAGAAAACAAATAACCTTGTTTCCAACATGGCTCCAAAGTGGTCACCTAGTGATAGTAAATTGTCCCTTGACAAGAAGCCCAGGAAAACAAATAACCTTGTTTCCAACATGGCTCCAAAGTGGTCACCTAGTGATAGTAAATTGTCCCTTGACAAGAAGCCCAGGAAAACAAATAACTCCTTTAACATTCTTACATCAAGGTTTTGTATAGTACACTGTAGTTAAAAAAAACCATGTTACACCCTTTAAAAAAAGTTATTGAAGAGTGTACTAAAATTTTACAGGGATGCATCCCCCATAATACATCTAATGATTGTGGTGCTTAACATCATTTCAGACGAACTTCCCACTTTCCAGGAATGCATAATGACATATAACAGGGACCCCCTGTATTAAATTTCTCTGCATTACCTAATCTAAAACTCTCTGACCAGGAAAAAAAGTTTTTTTTAATCCAAGACCTATGGGAACCAATGATATCATAATATATTCTTATACTTTATAATGTGATAGTAAAAATGAAATAATTAAGATTAACCTACCTCTGACAAGTCTGGAATGTTATAACTGAACTATTTTGGCCAAAGAAATGACCATGCACCCAAAGAGAGAAAGCTCTCACTGGTGGTGAAGCCAGAAACTTGGTTGAGTCCACATGATACTGACCAGATAACTGGAGTGTGGCCAGTCCGGATCCCTGTACTTTCACAATCACAGCTCCCCATGCATTAGGTATCTTGAACAAAGTAAAACAAATATTGGATAATTTCGAACCAAAATAAAATTCCAAAGTTTCTACTTGATTCAGCTGAAGAAAAATTTTGATATTTTTATTTAATTTGCTTAAAATGATTTTAAAACAGTTGAACAAAAAACTACATTGGTATTTATAACAAGGTTTTAAAGCCACAGCTGGTTTTTGACTTGACAAAACTTTGTGATTAATAGTCTTACGATGTTTAACGCAATTATTTTTGTAATATGTGGCCACTGAAACACATTCAAATTCTGACAATAATAAGTGTTATAATTTTACTCAGTGACAAATATGTGTTATTGTTTTCATTTCATTATCACTGCCTATACGATCGAAACAATAAAACCATTGATAAATTACAAAATAAAAATATCAGCAAATTTCAACAAATTATTTTTACAATTTTAATGCCAGTAAATAAACAAATTATATCTCTTCATATTTTGACACGTAAAATAAAATGACATACTTAAATACCTAATTTCTGTATTTTTGGATCAAAAACATCACTTAAAAAAGACACACACACATAAATCCAGACTTTTTAATTGAAAGCTACATCTTCATGCTTGGAATAGTGGTTAACCAACGGTGTATTAATAATAATTCTTTTCATTCTCACAGTAAAAATATTTAACCATATTCCATGAAACTTGGTAACATTTTCTGAATGAAAAAATATTAATAAAATTTGAATTAGTACTTGAATGATGTTTTAGGGTATGAAAGGTCCAAACTTTTGTTTTGAAACACTGTTTGGAGAAAATAATAAAGATACTTCAAGAACTGTTATGGCATGAACACCATTTTTCAGCTGGCGAATCACGATTATAATTAACTGTCCTGGTCATGAGGCATTAGTGTTAGGCCTAATAACAATGTTTTATGATAAATATAATTAAGTAATCAAAATTATTCTTTTTTCTTAGACTTTCTAAATTTCTTTATTGATCAAAAAGTTACTGATCAGTTTTAACTTGTTTCATATTCATTTATATCGTTTCCATAGATACTATATTTCGCTGATTGAAGTAGTTGACTTTCTGCTATAAATCATATAAGCATGATATATTTATTTGTTTGTTGTTGAGCATAAAGCTATGCAACGGGCTATCTGTGTTATGCACATCATGGGTATCAAAACCTGGATTTTACTATATAAGCCTTCAAGCTTACCACTGCTGTATGTTTGACCACAATACATTTTTGGATTAAAATTATGTTTTAAATTAATTTTGAATGTTGATCTGCAAGTATCCATTCATATTGAACTGGACATCAACAGTTCATTATGGGTTAAAGAAGAGAATATTTTTTTATCCCGCAGAAGGATTTTGTTTCTACTCATGAGAGGATGATAACTCTGTTTAACTGTGTACTTGTAGTATATGAATCTTGTCTTTAAACCACTACGATTAAAAACGTCCATTTAGATTTATTTTAAACACCACATTATTATACACTCACCTCGATACTTTGCAGCTCTGAAAGGTTATTGTCATCAATGTGAAGCTGTTTCACAAAGCCCGGAGTTGACGATGCTTCAACCATGATAGTGATGTCTGTAACCTCTCTCTGTCTTGAATGTACAGTGTATTCGGTCAGTGCTTGGATGGAGAGAAGTGTGTCCTGCATGAAGTAAATTTCAGTAGAATCGACATACTCTTAGTTGCAACTTCCAAAACAACTGTTGCATATATTAGGTAATAGTCAATTCAAATCTAGTTGCTCACCTTGGAACCAGTGTTAAAGCAGTTCTATTGTTGCATATATTAGGTAACAGTCAATTCAAATCTAGTTGCTCACCTTGGAACCAGTGTTAAAGCAATTCTAAAGAATACTGCTGTATGATTGTTTCTAAATGCTAAGTGGTAGACCAGTCAGTAAAGAGTACTTCCAAAACAAGTTATTACTGATTACAAACAATGAGCTATCTGCACTAGCTCTGTCCGCTGTAGGGATCCAATCCAGGATTTTAACATTCTACTGATTATGAAGGAAAAAGTAACAAAACTGTTTAAAAATTGTTCTCATTATTTGAATAGAACACATTCTAAAATAATTATTATTTAAAACTATGTTTAAAGAAATATTACACTTGACAATTTCTTCACTTGTTTCTGGATTCTGTGCAAAACTGCACAGCAGGTATCTGCATTAGCTGTCCCTAATGTTTAAGTGATATACTATAGAGGGAATAAACTAATTAACAGTATGCACCGTAAACTCTTAGGCTATGAGATTGAAAAGTGGAATTTGACCAGCACCTTTAAAACACACCCATAATCCCAAAGTGTAAAGCATTATTTTTTTTGGGGGGGGGGGCATGAACCTCACTTCCATGGTCCAGCACACTAACCATTGGGCCACACTTGAAAAAAAACAGCCAATAGTGATACCTGAATTGTATGTTGTAAAGCTTCCCTTGAAGTGGTAAATAGTACACTTTATTTATTTTACAAAGATCCTTTAAGCAGCTGACAAAACAAGAGGCTTATTAATGTGGAGAATCTTCTGAGAAAAATCCTAGGCATTTCTTTGCCAATAAAACAATATCAAATGTGGTTATTCATTTAGACCTTTTTTCTTAAAAAAATGCACTAATACAACACTGTTTAAAATGGGCCATTTTTTGAACTGTCATTCATTTTTTTAACATTCTAAAGAACTCCCAACTTTTCCAGTTTATGACAGTGATTTGAAATAAGTAAATTTCGTCTTTTAAAATTATTATTGAGTTGTTTAAGAACATTTTAAACACAGTTGGCAACGGTAAATTCTGATTTACCTGTCAAATTTTAAGTAAAGTATAACTAAAGTTTAAAATCGATTTTATCCTTAGTTCATTCAGATCCAACTTCCTTTGGAGCTCTATCTACAATCCATGCACTCAGTGATATATTATAGTAAGTATTCTCTTCAATCCTGTTACATCTCCATTATCAACTGAAAAAAAAAACTCAATCAGTGTCATGAGAAAATTTTACTTACTTGAGTGGAGGCCCATCCTCCATCATGTGCCCTCTGAGCAATAAGCCATCTAACAATGTCCTTCTGAATGACAGCTTGCCTTGCCACATGTACCAACAGACCATATGCTGTTGTTTCCACACTTGAGGCTTCATATCTATGCAGTAGTTTGGGTAAAAGATATGGGCGATTGTTTGCAACCATAGTCCGAGGAGGGGGAACGGGCTCAACTGCCCAATACCTCATTCCATCTACAACCAATAAACTAAATATAATACTCATTTTGTTTAGACATACTTCTCCTTGCAAGTTTGGTTTCAGGATTAACCAAGATTAACCAAGACTACATTTACTGTCAGAACAGGAAAATGGTGTTAAAATTTGGTTTCAAGTTTAACCAGGACTACATTTAATGTCAGAACAGGAAAATGGTGTTAAAGTTTGGTTTCAAGATTAACCAAGATTGCATTTACTGTCAGAACAGGAAAATGGTGTTGAAGTTTGCCCAATACCTCATTCCATCTACAACCAATAAACTAAATATAATACTCATTTTGTTTAGACATACTTCTCTTTGCAAGTTTGGTTTCAGGATTAACCAAGACTTCAAGACTACATTTATTGTCAGAACAGGAGAATGGTGTTTAAGTTTGGTTTCAAGATTAACCAAGATTGCATTTACTGTCAGAACAGGAAAATGGTGTTGAAGTTTGGTTTCAAGATTAGCCCAGCCTTCAAGACTGCATTTACTGTCACAACAGGAAAATGGTGTTAAAGTTTGGTTTCAAGTTTTACCAAGACTACATTTACTGTCAGAACAGGAAAATGGTGTTGAAGTTTGGTTTCAAGGTTAACCAAGACTACATTTACTGTCAGAACAGGAAAATGGTGTTAAAGTTTGATTTCAAAATTAACCAAGACTACATTTACTGTCAGAACAGGAAAATGGTGTTACGGTTTGGTTTCAAGATTAACCAGGACTACATTTACTGTCAGGACAGGAAAATGGTGTTGAAGTAAGGGAATTACTTTAATCCACTTACAGTTTATTTAGAAAGCCAGTTAAATTATAATAATTTTAGGGCATTGCATGTTTTTCTCCTCTTCATATTCTGTGTTCTTAATTGCATATTTGAAATAAATAGAAATTATTTTATGTACTACTACTACTACTACAATACATTGTTACAAAATAGTAGGGTTGAAGTTCACAGGGGTTAAGAACTACAAAAAAAGAAAAAACAGGAAACCAGACACAAGTACTAAATTTCTTGTTTTTTATTGTATTTTTTAATATTTTTGTTAAATTAACTAAAATGTAAAAATTACAAATTATTAAGTTTATTAAGAAAATGTAACTAAAAAATTTCTCAGTGATATATGCATGCAAGCTGCTTATATGATACATAACTTAATACTTTGTTCACTGTAGCTATGCATTTGCCAGGTGACTTATAAATTTAATGTTAAGATATGGTTTAAAAAGCAATAAAACAGTAAAATTAAAACAGATGTAAATCGTTACAAGCCTGAGGTTGTTTATGATAAATAATTATAATTTTTCTCTTACAATCTGCAATCTCTCTAGAGAGATAAAATGGTAATTTAGATTAATTTCCTCTTGTTGTTTTTTTCTGTTGGTTACAAGGTTAGTCAATGGACTGAGTCTGTCTACTGTTAGGGTAAATAAAATGTATGGTTTTTACCGAAAAAAATTTTGATACTTGTGTAGGAGGTTCTAGAGGTTATGTAAATGAAATATCAAATTAAAAGATGAAAAAACTATTTTTATTCTTTACAGGAAAATCACCTTGCACTCAGTCAGACTAGTCAGGCTTACTCTATAAATTCATAAACAAATAAATAGTTTATTAAAAATTCTGATTTCTTTGCATACAAGAGTTTTGTAACGTTTACTAATAGCGTACCAAATTTAGTAAAGATACATTTACTAGATTAAAAGTTATAGCATGTATATTTTCATGGTTACATGGTCGTTAACAAGTTGGTCAAAATGACCAAGCCTGTATATGGTGAGTTAAGATGCAGTTGCCCTAGACACATTAGTAATCTGTGCAATTCTAGTTAAAGATACAACTTCAAGATGGATTCCATTTTTCAGTGTTAATTGGCTCTTCCTATAAACATTCTTGGACTGATGTATTTTCAGGAATATATACACGCCTTTTTATATTTCAATGCATGGGGCGGTAGTGTTTGAGTTAAGCTAACAGTTTCTCTGTGGCAATTCACATTAAAATCTATTTCTCTGTTGAGTGTTGTTTGAAAAAAATAAATATTTTTCTTACTTGATTCTCTCATCTTCCAGTCCAGAAGATTAAATACCTCCTCACTACTGTTGCTACGAGAAAGGGTCAATGCATAGGCTACAATAGCTAACTCAAATGGATCTTCATAGTTCTTAACAACATGGAGTGTTCTCTCCAAGTACCTCTGTGCTGCTGTTCTGCTCGTAGTAGCTCTTGCTCCAAGAGCCTGTACAGGGTGAAGTACAAAAGAAAGTGAAAATATACAGTTAAAATTTATAAAATACCTTATTCTTTACAGTTCTCATTGAATAATAACAAAATGTTACCACAATGCAGTTAATAATTGTTAATAAAATAGGTTCAATATGTTTAATTTAAAGAAAATAGCCATTGGTAATATTTCAGTCAAATAATTGTTTGACTTAACTTAAAGCTCACAATGCTTTTTCAGAAGTGATTTAAGTTCTAAAACCTTCCAAAACTGTAAAATTGTTTCATAAGAAAAAAAAAGTAAATTGTTTAAGAAAATAATTTCACTTTATAGGGTTAATTGGGCTTATAAAATTTTCAATATGAGGAAGTAACTGGAACCATAGGTCACTTGTTTGTTTGTTTTTGAATTTCGTGCAAAGCTACACTAGGGCTATCTGTGCTAGCCGTCCCTAATTTAGTGGTGAAAGACTAGAGGGAAGGCAGCTAGTCATCATCACCCACCGCCAACTCTTGGGCTACTCTTTTACCAACGAATAGTGGGATTGACCGTCACATTATAACGCCCCCACGGCTGAAAGGGCGAGCATGTTTGGTGTGACAGGGATTCGAACCCGCGACCTTCAGATTGTGAGTCGAGTGCCTTAACCACCTGGCCATAGGTCACTTGTAACTAAGTACATACACTATTTAAGGTTATAAATAGAGTTTGATCACAGTTATCAGAAAATAACAAGGAAATATTAAATATTTAAACTGTCTGTAGTTTTAATACTAGTACTTACCCCACCCAAATCTTTCACTTCCAACAACGTGATAAGCACATGAGCTGTAAGAGAGATGTTTCTATGACGTACAATGTCACCAAGTCTTTCTGTCTGTAAGAAGAAAACATTATCACTTAAGTTACTTGTAACAGAAAACAAATTTTTTTACGTTAAAGATGTATTACAAGGCTTTGTTTGTTCGTCCTAAAGCACAAAGAAACACAATGGGCTATTTGTGCTCTGCCCACCATGGGTATTGAAACCTGAAGTTCAATATTATAAGCCCATTGACTTACTGCTGGGCCACTGGAGTCACAAGGCACTGAAATAACTTAGACGCTTGGGCATAAACACTAATGTAAATGAATTAGATTTAAAACCGATATTTCCTCCATTGTTTACTAACTTGAAAATTAAGTCAAAATAAATATCATAACCCTTAAACATATAGCGTAATTTACATAATATGTATAATAAACCATTATTTATTTGTAGTTAAGCACAAAGCTACACAATGGGCTATCTGTGCTCTGCCCACCACGGGTATCGAAACC